TTATTGATCTATAGTGCAGTTTTGGCGAATACTGTGATTATATTATCGAATTATAATAGTTATTGACTATAGAACCGAAATAATGTTTAAACATAAAATTTCAATTAATTATAGTCGAATTTCGACTACTGCGGGACCACTAGTATTTATTAAAAGATATGGGTGTGCCATGATATCATTATAATATGCCCATGGTAGTTGCATTCTTATTTACCCAAAATTCTCTGTTTCTAATTCATCATCTGTTTACACTGGTGTCCAGAATCCCCATCTTATTTATTAAGCTAACTTTTACACTGCGTTCAATATTGAGTACTAGTTTGAGGACATATTGTGAGCATGCGGGTTAGTATCACGATGTTCATGTCGTTTCGTTTTTGGGCTTTCGCGCACTCCACGTGTTGACGACCTGGTTTGTTCACCCAACTTCTATCTATCAAATAAACTAATAAAACAATTATATCATGGAAAACCAGTCGTAGTAGGCCCATCAACAAGGTTTCTCAAAAAGTATTGAAAGACGCACGGCTTACCAAGTCATAGGAATCAGTTACTCCTGGCAGAGCCTTTGTTCGTCCACCTATCCTGGTGAAACGGGTAAGGCCTCCGGGCTACCAGTATACCTTCCTTCATAAAATTTAGCTCAGGAATCTTTGAGAATGTTTATATTTAAAAATAGATGTCAACAAGCAAATGAATATACTCCAAAAATTATTCTGTATCGATCTATTAGACAACAATTCAAAAAGTTAAAACGTAATTCCTAACCGCTTAAACGCGAAAATCATTTTCTTTACTTAACGATTCGTCATAAGAAACGAACAATTTATTGATAACAATTTGAATCTTATGTCATTCGATATTAAATTGGTTATTTGTACGCCGGCATTCGAAAGGGTTGTGCACCTTGCTTTGAAGATTAATGATGACAAGGAACGGCTTTTGTTGAATCAAATTAGACGCCGGGCGTTGGATATACGGCTTATAATTTGCTAGCCATGCACTAATTGGAATATCTTGAGGCGTGGAAGGGAATTTTTTAGTAGCTTATGCTGACAAACAAGCGGATTTAACAGTAATAGCAAAGTAGTAAAGACCAGTCGATAAACGGCAAAAAAAACGGCCGTTACCACCAATAGATGTGCCAATCATTTGATTATGGCGGAAGTTCACCCGCATCTTCAAAAGCAAGATAGGTCCTTATTTTTGAAATAACAGCCTATTATACCCTTTCTACCCGAATTAAGGGATAGTTCGCGGCTGAAATTGGTAGATACTTACCTCTAATATAGGTCGTATAGGAAAGATCAATCTTATTCTATAACCATCCAGCTATTCCATCAATAGATTTGTTTATGGTCAGGCGTTGTTATTACGCCGGTTATAAATTCTTATAATCTGTATATTATTGTGTCGATTTCATTTAGTTGGCTTAAACAGATGGCCTTTTGTTTATTTTTTTATGAATGAGGGATTACTGGTGGCCCAGAGGCATTTCCAGTTTCATCAGGACAAGTGAGTGAGCAAAGGCTCAGCCAGGAGGGGTGGGATTTGCCAACAGCTAACACCTCCAAAGGAGACCTAATAACTCAAGGACAGTTGCTTCGCGAATTAATCTGCTACCGCATCGGAATCGCGACCCGCTTAGAAGATCTAGCCAGAAACTCATCGGGCTGATGTTTAGGATAAGTTGCACGTCTAACTTTTTTAGGGTTACCGGGGTCCCTAAGTCTGCTCCTAGTGTTAGAGCTGAAGGCGTCGAGGAAGTGTCGTGAGTTAGTACCTACTCTAATGAAATCCATAAGTCTATACTGTTTTTAATACGCTTTTATTAGCTTCAGACGTGTAAAAATAGTGCAAGAAAAAATGATTTTATTGTAAAAAAGCGTGGGGTGCTTTTCAGGATATTATCAAAATAACCCTTCTACTCATATCTGTTCATAGAATATTTATAACTAAGTACTGATACGATGCACTCCACGCGTATTTTTTTTTTACAATAAAATCATGTTTTCTTACACGGTTTTCAATTCAAATTTATTAAGATTTATTCATATTTTTTGGTGGGATTTTCTATATGAGCGTATTTTTTTGGTTTTTTTAAACTATTATTTATTTCTAATGGAATACCTATTGTAGCCCATGTTCACGAATGACTTCTACAAAGAACAATTTGCGTAATTACTCGTATTAGGGCGTCTTCTGAGCCTGCACGGGTAGGTAGATAGGTACATCCACCCACCCTATTTCCGCGGCGAAGCATCAATGCGTTCCGGTTTCAAAGGTGAGAGGACTACCGTTGTGTTTTGTAATTGGCATTTACCATTTTGTTTTAGAATTTTCATTGATTGAAAAACCATTACGAGGAAGAGGCTAGCTGATTACTGAAAACGAATTACTTAGGTATTCACGAAGAACAATCTTTAAATACTAATAATTTTAATCTGTTTTACCTATGTGTGTCCTCAAATAGCTTCATTCAAACAGATAATTTAGTCTACATTTTCATATATTCTATGTACTCGAATGTAAAGTTAATTTTTTTTTAAGTGATTTTATGACCTGGTAACTAAGACCTTTAAGTCATGTCTTATTTTAATTTATATTCTTAGTATATAAAATATAATCTTACTTAGTAAAACGGTGGTCATTTACTAAGATTTTTTCAGTCGACTTTTTGGAGGATCCCAAGAAGTTACGTCCAGCGGCTTTGTTTCATTTTCCCACATTTGTGCACTTTCATAGATATTAAACAGTTAATAAACCACCATTATTACACATTTAAACCCGAAGAAACACTAAATAGACAAAATAAAACAAATCACACAACTTCACTCCTCGCGTGAAAGGCTCCATTTTTTAATGCCACTGATGAGGGTAATATTTCCAATTTATTATTTAAAAAAAAATATTGTGTAAATTAAAAAATGTATACCTATTATTAAATCAATGCCCATTGGGACTTATCGATGGTGACGCAAAGTGGTACTCAACACTTCGACAAGACATTGACATTGTCATATCTTTGGGTTCAGGGAACTAATGAGTCCGTTTACGCCTGAAAAAATATTTAAATCCGTTATTTCATAAGCAGGGTCGAGGAGATATCAAAAAGCAGATGGATCTTAACTTTTTAATAGCTAGTTTCATTAGAATTTTGCGTGAATTGTAATGATTCTGGTAAAGCTTCTGGTAAATATACTTTGAGAAGCGCTATCGATTGGCTCATTCAATATTCAGACACAAGATTTCGAGACTGGTCAAAGTGACGGCATAATGACTGTCGTGGTTACAAATATGATTAAATGTTGTCAACTCAGAGGTACGTAAATACTTTGGCATATCCTTCGAAGTAAACAAGATATGCCCTAATATATTTTCTTATATAAAACGCTGTGTTTGTGATAAAATTCCAGAAATATGCTTCCCACTTCCAAACTCCGGTATTCTTCGATCTACGAAAGCAAATTAAATTTCCTGAATGAAACAAAACGTATTAGGTTGAAAAGGAAATGATTTAATTATTTCTTTACAAGAGAGGAGAGTAAAATATCTTCTGTACATTTTTTATATTTTTTACCCGATTCTGACGACGCCAAATAGCATCATACTTCTTTCTATATATGGCCGATTAGTTTCAAGGTTATTTGCATCCACGGAGTAGATAAATAAGGTTTGCATCTATGCGACTTTCTTATTGAAGTAGAAGGTTGTCGGAGAGCACCGTGATACACGAGTTCGAAATGTCTGGCTAATGGCCGCCCTTAGAATTGGTAAGCACGATTAGTTGGCGCCAAGAATAGAACGAGCTGACAACTTTTTTTATTGCTTACCTCGATGACCACTTGTTGTCAAATGATTACTGAAGCGCAAAAACATCAATAATGTAAATGCCGCTACCCATATAGTTACAACGGCTACCCCCTAATCTTCAAACCGAAACGCATTACTGCTTCCGGCAGAAATAGGCAGGGTGGTGGTACCTACCCGTGCGGACTTACAAGACGTCCTACCATCAGTAAATACGCAAATTATCACATTTACGGTTTTTTTATTGCACCATATTAATCCTTAATGGTGGAAGTCATTAGTGAAAATTAGTAAAATACCATTTAAAAAAATTATACCTGGATATGAACACCGACCCAGTTACATCGCTCAACACGAATGAACCGGGCGTCTTATCCTTGGCCACCACGACTTCAAAACATATCCCAGCTAGTTACAGTATCCCAGTCATTAGCGAAATTCAAAATTCTGTGACCTAGAATTTATTGCACAAAAGAATTTATAACCGCATTACGTCAACGTGTCAGATTGCAATTTTAATATTTAATCTCTAGTATTGATCGTGTTCATTTTGGCTTCGTGATGGCAAACGGTCACTGCGAAATCTTAAAGCGGTTTATAATTTCACGCGACTATCAACCATCCCAGTGGCCACTAAAAATCTTCGATATTAATAATTTAAATGACACTAACCTCTCGAAAAATAAATGGATTAAACTGTTTTACAAATCTAGGTTTCACCTACAATTAAATTTTACATACATTAAGTAAAATATAATGGTGATAATTAAGTAAAAAAATATTTAAAGCGATTGAAATTGATTGTACGAGTAATTTAATATTGTCATTTAAAATTTAATATAATTTTGATTTTTAACTTTAAAATTATTTATGTGCACAATATTCTTAAATCGAAAATTTAAATAGCATCATCACAAACAGATCCGTATTCGATTTGGCGTACTAACAGTTGACTTTTTAAAGACCTACAATTTTATTAATGTTAATAATTATTAACACAACATTAGTTTGTTATCATTGATAATTGTCAACAATTTGTAACATGCTAGTGGCCGTCTGCAATTTCTACAACTTGTTCTAACAATATAGGTTATCCAGCATGCCTTATCTAAATAAACAACAATATCGTCTCCCTAGAAACCGATGATATTCTTTTCAACTAAACAAAAAGCACAATTTACACTACGTACCTTCAATGGCAACGACGTGATCTCTTATCTGCTGAGCGAGCAGTGGATCAGGCACCAACTCGACCAGATCGTAAAGGGCGTATATCGATGGATGTACACTTTCAAACCGCTGTATCTCTTGTCGTATCGACAAAGATGTATTCAGGCAAGCCTGAGAATGCTGCCGGCTGCACATATTACCCCTGTAGCCGAACATTTATCCAGATAAATGTGTACGTACAAACACTCCACGACACTAAAAATGCATTCTCGGTTTACGCTCTACGTGAGCAATCCACCGGTCATTTTTGATCATTAACTTAACAATGCACTTGAATACACGTTAGTGTGGTTCGTTACAAGAAGAAGACACTGTTAACACAAAACACTATTGGTATCGGTTATAAAGAACATGTAAATAAACAATCTACACGCTTTCGAACACCGACATAAACACACCGCCTCATCGGCAGCCATTACCGGACTGTCGCGTTTTTGCCCAGCCAGGAATGGACGGGGTTGCCCATTTAATAAAATTTTCCGAAACTAAACATGTAAATTACAAAATTTGTATGCACTATTGTGTGAACTAGTCAACTAGATTATGTATTCAAGTCAAATTTTCTGAACATTACAGTGATAGTATTTTGATCAGATTGATGAATATTATTATGCGCGACAATTGCCTATTTAGGTATTATTTCGAAATTGTTATTGTTTTACAAAGCAAAGTTTGATTTGATACAAAATAAATTAATTTAGGTCATCATATATATGTCATAATTGAAAAAAAAAAGATAAACGACTTCAACTAGATTAATTTTATGATTTATTTAAACCATACTTTTTCTTTTTTCTTAATGAGGAAAGTCTTGTCAAAGGTTTGATTTGATTTGAAAGTATAAAAAGGTCTTTTTTACAGAGTTTCAAACATTAACAGTGAAAGGCAAGAGTTTAGTTGTGTCTTTCAGAGCGATAGTAACAACTTTCCACAAGTGGGTCATTAACCGATAACGCCTGATATCAAATTTTATTACAAACTAAAACATATCAATGTGATTGTTATTTCAAATGATATTTTTTTGTTGGTTGTGATGGCGATAAATTTTAAATGATAGAGAAATTTTAAAGGCTGGTAGCACTAATTCAGAGCACGATTCAAAGACGAATAGAGATTTTTAGTTTAGCGACATCTATTGGATTTCATATAAACGTCTACGTTGCAAAGTTAACGGTACGACCATTTTAGTTTCTAAAAATTTTCCAGGGTGCGGTATTTTAAATAAAAGTAATGTTTAAATTATCCCTAAAAATGTTATTAAACAATAAAACCTAAGGACTCGTTCAGTAATTATCGAAAAACTTGTTTTTTTTTTAAATTGAAGAGTACAGCATATACGTCACACTAAGTGTATTTTTATTAGATAAGTAAGATACTAGTGAGCATGAAAGGACCTTTTGGCAGTAACGTGAAGAGTGAAATTGTGTGATTGTTTTATTTTGTTAATTTAGCGTTTTTTTTATGTTTAAAATGTGATAATGGTGACTTATTAATTTTTGACATCTAAATTATTGGGAAAATTAAACACAGGCATTGGACGCAGCGTCTCAGGTTCTTCCAAAAATTTCACTCAAGTCTCACTAAATAACCACCATTGTACTGAGCCTTTATTCCATCCCATCTCATTTCGTTTCATTTGACATAAGATGGGAATTTCATCTTGTTTTATTTTATTTGAATGAATTAAATGAATTAACTTTAAATCATTTCCCTATAAATCATTTATAGCTTTATATATATTTATTTAAATAGTAGTTTTCTTTTTCCAAATGGAAAGGCAAAAGTATCATACCATACAGCCTAATCTTTTATATATTTTTTTTATGAAAAATGATAATATGGAGTGAAATGAAATGAAGATGATTAATTTGAGACATTAATCAACTGGGATGAAATGAAATGAAATGATATGAGATGAAATATAATTTCAGTAAAATGGTGGTCATTTACTGAGATTTTTTCAGTGGACTTTTTGGAGGATCCCGAGAAGTTACGTCCAACGGCTTTATTTCATTTTCCCACATTTGTGCACTTTCACAGATATTAAACAGTTAATGAACCACCACTAATACACATTTAATCCCAAAGAAACACTAAAGAGACAAAATAAAACAAACACACAACTTCACTCCTCGCGTTCCCGCCTAAAAGCTATATAATATATTTATTTGATAAAGATTTTTATAAATTCGACACTGGCAACAATGGCATCACAAAAAGCTAACTGCCATACTTAAAAAAGAAGAAGAAGAGCAATGAACGTAATCATTTAGCCATTATTGTTATCTACTTTTTCTGTTCACTTGAAAATATCATCTTCTCAATCTGTCTCGAACCTATAATCTCTAGTCATGTTGCCACTCAGCTTTACCACTATTGGAGCGATTTCGATACAACTAGAGGTCCCGCAGTACTCGAAATTCGACTATAATTAATTGGAATTGTAAGCTTGTACACTATTATGATTGTATTTTATACTTCTATAATCACAAATTTCGCCAAGACTACACTATAAAAATATGTATTAACAAAGACAAACAATATTTAATCTCAATTTGACAACAGACGTCAAGAACAAAAGTTTGACAATAAATATTATGCATGCGTGTGTGCGTCAAATACATGGTATGTAGTGTGTGTAATGTTTTCTTTATTGATTTAATGTATCTTTTATGCATTATTTAAAAAAAAAATTAGCATTGTGCACTTCTTCTCTATATTCTCTATAAGTGTGGAAAATTTCATACTCCTCCGTCCGCGCAATTTTCGTAAAAAGGGATACAAAGTTTTTGCTTCACGTATTAATATATAGATAATGTTATTCATGTTTGTAAAACAGCGCGGCACGTTTTCTTTGCTAGTCGTATAAATTGATACTTGCACAACGGTGAGGTGCGATAATACGGGTTAGTTTGTTTGTTATGATAATAGATTAATTGTAACGTTCTTGTGAAGTAAGGCTTTATTTTAACCATAGAATACTACAGGAGATTTTTTTTAAATAAACAAAAAATCTAATATGGCGGCTGTCGGTGGTACGCAAAAGTAACTGCGTATACGAAGCGGCTAAGTACAAGAATCTGCTATAAAAATATTTAAAAACAAATGCTTAAAAATTAAGAGACAGAGTGAGGAGACGCGACAAATAGTTTACTCGTAAAATTGCGTATTCAGTGTAATTTTTATTTTAGTTGGTCATAGACAGACAAGATCTTTACCAACCCCGTTTTAAGTCCGCAACGGAGACAGTAGAGACATCTTAACGTCGCCACCCAAAGAACAAACACTTAAATATTAAGATTATCCGTATCTTTATTTGAATTTATTCAACGTGCATTAAAAAAATCACAAAAAAGAAATAGAACAGAGGTTTCACAAACCGCTTTTTAATCGCGGTCCGCGTTGTTTAAGCTGTTTGATTCTGAATGTAGTTCCCGCGAATTTTGCTGTCGTTCAAAACTTAAGTGAAATATGTCGAAGTACTAGTTATAATAAATCTATCTATCTTCTATCTATATATATATAAAAATGAATTGCTGTTCGTTAGTCTCGCTAAAACTCGAGAACGGCTGGACCGATTTGGCTAATTTTCTCTTATCTCGTCTCGAATTATTCGTGGAAGTCCAGAGAAGGTTTGAAAAGTAAGATAAATATGAAAATGCTCGGAATTAAATAAATATAACAATTTTGTTTTTCCTTTGATGTGTCCCCCGTCGCGTCGGACGGATTCCTTTTGTTTGTTTTATGTTTATTTTATACAAAAGCTTTATTTATAGATTGGGGCACTATGAAGTCTGCCGGGTCATATATATATATATAAAATAAAATAAAAAGCCTTTTATTTCCTGCTAAAATACAAAGTAAATAGGTATTTAATAATTTTATTTTTCTTCACTAATGTTTGGCAGGAACCTATTAAAGATGGTGAAGGCCTCCTCCAAGTCCTTCCATTTGGTTCTATTTTGGGCTACCTGTATCCATCGAGGGCCAGCAATAGCTTTTATATCGTCCTCCCATTTTGATATCGGGCGACCCTTTTTTCTTTTCCCTTGTGACCCTTCCCATGCAGTTATTCTTGCAGTCCATCTCTGGTCCTTGAGTCTTGCTACATGACCAGCCCACTTCCACTTCAAGCTTCTGGCATATTCAAGAGCATCTATAGATTTTGTTTTTTCTCAAATTTTTGTGTGTCTGATTTTATGAATCTTTCTTATATCCAGCAGACTTCGCTCCATTCCTCGTTGGCAGGACTAGTTACTTTCTAATAAATCCCACCCGATATCACAACAATGTTTTGTGTATTTTATTTTCTGTCGCTTCTCTCTGTTAGTGGCTAGTAATTTAGTAATTTATTTAGTGCGCGTCTAGCGTCGGTCGCGAGTAGTCGTTCATACAAATTAGTGTTGTGTCTGGTTTTTTCAATGCAGTAATAATGTTGAAATTCAAGGTAAGTAATGTGTACGTATAAATTAAGTTTAAGTTGGTTTCGTGTTGTGGTGATAAGGCTCGCCGTGAGATGCCAGGATAGGTAGGTGCCATAAGTTTGAGACAGAGCAGCAGATTTTGGCGGGAATCGGACATTTGAGTGGATGACCGTTGCATAAGGATTTTTTCAGTGGATTCGAACCTGCAGACCACCTTAAATCCTCACGTGTATGATGATTCAGCTATACAAAGACCCCAATAAGTGCCATCAGTTAGATAATAAATGCAATCTGTAGTACGAAAACCCACAACCAATTTTTCTTCTAGATTGTAATGATTAGCTCCTTAACCAAAAATGACGACATTTTTTTTAATACATAATGTCACTGATCTTAACGTAATGTAGTTTACACGGATAAGTTCCATTATCATGCCTGTTTTTGTTGTGAAAGACGGGATAGTGTCCATAAATTACAATTGAGTCTTCAACCGTGTGTCCCGATATGGGAGGCAGCATTCAATTCATAGCTTCGTGAGGCAGCAGGCTTATCTCTTCAAATAAAACACAGCTACTAAAATAATTGTTAATGTATTTTGTTATAGAAAATTTAGTATTAATTTTATTTTCGTGGAAGCCTGTCATTGGCTTTCAATATTTTTTTATCTGTGATCAGCACAGATTATATTTTATGTTGGTTCATTCTTATTAAATAGACTTTGGGGAGACTATTTTGACGTTAATCAATGAATTTCCGTTGTGTCAAAATTATATTATATTTCTAATTTATGTAATCGCGAGAGATCAAAGGAAATTGAATTAAATATAAATATTGTATTTTGTTGAAATGAGGTAGGTCTATGCGAATATAATTGTAAATAGAAATGCTTTAACAAAAACAGACTTCATATAGAAAAAAAAGATATTCCAAAGCAAATTAATATACACTAAAAACAATAATTATCGAAATCGGTTGGCGTGATATTGAGTTATTGAGTTATTCATTTATTTGTCGCGCACGTACTTAATGATTTAAGACTTATAAGGCTTTCATGGATACCATTATCAGAACTGGACTAAATTAAAATGGGACCACACGGGAAGCGTCAGCTTTCTAATAAAAAAGAATCATTAAAATCGACTCACCCAGTCAAGAGTTATGAGGTGACAAAAAAAAACCATATAGTCGAATTGAGAACCTCCTCCATTTTGAAGTCGGTTAAAAAACATTACAATCGGCCCGAACGTTAAATTAATATTTATCTATACGTACATATAAATAAAATTGGAGTGTCTGTTTGTAATATTGGAATAGCCTCTTTTTACTATAATACATGCATATGCATATATAATATACGGTACATACACCAAAATAACATTTTTTACAATTTTTGTCTGTCTGTCGGTCTGTCTGTTTGTTCTGGCTAATCTCTGGAACGGCTGGACCGATTTTGACGGGACTTTTACTGATAGGTAGCTGATGATATAAGGAGTAAATTAGGCTACTTTTAGACTAGCTTCGCCCCGCGGTGTCACCCGCTATACGACATAAACCTCGGGTAACATCACGGGACTCAACTAGTATTACATAATTACATTGTGGTTTGCTACGTGCTTATAACGTTATAACTTTTAACAAAAAACAAAACCTATTAAACCACGTAAAATACACGTTTTCCTGTATTTAAATTAAGATATTTTTGTGTTTAATATCGAGTAGACTTATGTGAATGTATACTTATTTTAGCACTGAATGTGGTTACACGGACAACATTAATTATATTCTATTACATAAAACATTAATTAGCTTAGCGTGTCTCAGTTTATATTTCGATGTATTAACATTTTGATAATGTGAGATCCGCATCACACAGCGAGATGTAGGGCGAGAGTTTCGGCTTTTTAAAAAAATGAGCGGGCTAGATTGCATCCCCTTTGTTACCACATTTGCATCACCTGTCTTATATAATAGCACTAATAAGGTTCCCGTCTTCGTTGAAGACCGCGCATGTCCAATCCTCAGAAATTCTCCAGCTACACGCCCATAGCGATATCTTCCTTGCTTTCGAAAGCAATGAAGCGAATAATAAATACGCTACTCTTTGAGTATCATGAGAATTGCCAGTTAAGCATTGACCGACATAAAGGTTCCAGTTGCGGGCGCTCTGCGATATTCTTGTATGCATTACTCACAAATGGTCTCGAACCTTTCAGTCGAAGTCATAGGGGCGAATAGGGTGATCGAGCTAAGATAAATATTGAGTACACCAAACACGTCTGTTGTCTTAGAACATTTTAGAAATCTTCTCTTGACGTTAGCAAACGAAAACAAATAACAGTTCTTAGGACGGAGGCACTGCTCTTCAAGAAGGCTGGATGGTAAGTGTGATGGCGTCTACGCGCCTCCATCGGGTAGGCTCTGTCGTAGCACGAAGCTAGCCGAGCTCCGACGATACCGCAATCGTGCTGCCATATCTCGGGAATCGTGCTGCGTTTATTCAAATTCAAATTCAAAATCATTGATTTCAACTTAGATGTCAGTATAACACACTTGTTGAATGTCAAAATATAAATAGCAATGTTAACTCTACCACCGGTTCCAAAAAAAGCCACAGTCCTGAGAAGAACCGGCGAAACAAACTCAGCGGGCTTTTTTTTTTTTTTTCTCAAATATATATATATTTTTTAAATAAGTTTTCGTTTAACTACCAAACTAATGACCGTCTCCGATATAATATTTAATAGCATAAATATTTTTTTATTCCATAAATAAAAGTCTATATGACTAAACCCAGCAAAAAACATCATTTGTTTTGTAAAACATAGGTAATGTGTTCTAAAATGTTAATCGTTCATTCATCTGTGTGCCGTATCTTTGTTTAAAAATCGAAGCGGAATTCCGTGGTTGTCAATCTGTCAATTTTACTTTTTGTTACTTACACGAAACATCTTACACGGAACATTTTGGAAATTACACTGTTATTAAATCACGTGTTTAGAGATTTCCAAAATATTCTTATCAGTAAACTAGCGGCACGCTCCGGCCCCGCTCGGGTCTTTAACAAAAATTTCAACGATATTTGACGTTGTTTTATTTTTTTTTAAATAAAAGAACACTTATTGCGGCATAACTATAATAGTTAGATATATGCTGTCGCAACACTTTTTGTAAATAATAATGTGTTCTACAAAAGTCGTAGTACATTATTTTATTCTATCATCAATAGTTTTCGTAGGGCACGCGATTTAAAGAATATTTTAGGTAATTTTTTACACCTTTGGTTACATTATTGGAGTTTTAGTAAGGATCCCAAATTTTTTCAAAAAAGATTATATCCTATGTCACTCGGAAATACTGTAGCTTCCAAACAGGGAAAGAATTTTTCAAATCGGTTCAGTAGTTTCGGAGCCTATTCAATACAAACAAACAAACAAACAAATCTATCCTCTTTATAATATTAGTATAGATATACAGAGACTGACGCGTCTCTAAAACAAAATAGCTTGCTGTCTTTGCTCATTGCAAACATTCGAAGAGATAACATTGTATTCAGTTGCTATTTACGATCGTACCTCGATAAGCGCCTACATCGATTTGAAATTAACATAAATAGGACTACATTTACGAACTAATTTCGAGTTTTTATTGTCACTATATCATTTCCGCCGTTTCAAAGACTTTATAGTTTTCATGACCACGGACGACTAAGCTGTTACTTGTTGACATTTCAATTATATTGCACAAAGTATCGAATATATTTGTAGGGGAAAAAATTCTAGTTTTTTTATTATTGCTTAGATGGGTGGACGAGCTCACAGCGCACCTGGTTGTTAAGTGGTTACTGGATCCCATAGACATCTACAACGTTAATGCACCACCCACTTTATATAAGGTCTCAGTATAGTTACAACGGCTGCCCCACCCTTCAAACCGAAACGCATTACTGCTTCACGGCAGAAATAGGCAGGGTGGTGGTACCTACCCGTGCGGACTCACAAGAGGTCCTACCACCATTATCTAGACGTTTACAACAAATTTCGAAATGAATGATGATATATGATAGATTTTATTTTGTTATCTTAAAGTAGTAATCGTAAAATAATCATAATTTTAATTTTATTTAAGATCCTACATATGCTTGTAGATAGATTGATATCTATATTGGATCATTTTGGATTATAGTGTTATTGGGGTCCATTTGTTTTCAAACCCCCATCAAATATGTACTTCTAAATCACACGAGTGCGTACTAAAACAATTATGACACTCTAATTTATAAGCCAAGCGGGCATAACAATTGAATAGCAGTTGGCTAGTTATTTGCGACAATTAAAACTGCTAAATAGATTCCACAGTTTTTTATTGCCGGTTATTGCCTCCTCGTGTAGGTATTTCCGTTTTCGTCTTCGGTTGATTGATCTTAAATATCATTACGCAGTATCTCAATTCAGACTATACTTTGAATGTCGCTAAAACCGCGTCCATTTGAATTTTGACAACGTGCTGTGCTGTGTAGAGAATCTCGAGCTTGAAGTCTCGTTTGAAGAAAAACATAGCGGGGGGATAAAGATACGATACTTCTGCAAGTCTACCATCTCGCAGAAGGAGGCGGTGGAATGGGAGAGGGAGCGCTCTTCTTCTCTCTCGGCACCGTGCCACCGCACCGCCACCCAGCCGGGGGTCGGAGAAGGGCCTTTGTTCAACTTCAGTCCTTTGTGACGTGGCAGTCTCCTTCCGGTGATGGTCACGGGGCGACCTGAGGGGTTCGAGGTTGTGCCGTACGATATCGTCACTGGCACCAGGAGGATGGGATATTACTGGTGGTAGGACCTCTTGTGAGTCCGGGCGGGTGGGTACCACCACCCCGCCTATTTCTGCCGTGAAGCAGTAATGCGTTTCGGTTTGAAGGGTGGGGCAGCCGTTGTAACTATACTTGAGACCTTAGAACTTATATCTCAAGGTGGGTGGCGCATTTACGTTGTGGATGTCTATGGGCTCCAGTAACCACTTAACACCAGGTGGG